CCATTTCAACTTTGTTGATATATCCAAATTATTTTGTTACCCCCCACCGACGCAGCCCCAAACAGTTTCTTTGGAATCTATTAGCCTTTATTCATTTGTCTTTAGAAGGGTCTTTAAATCTGTTGGTGAGCTGCTCTGTTTGACAATGTGGGGAAGACTGTTCCATAAGCAAGCTGAAGTATTTTAGTCAGCTTTTGTAAGTCAGCTTTTGTAATCATTACTGTGGCCAATTTACCTTCTAAAGACACATCCTTTTAATCAATCTTATAATTAGTTCAGCATATGATAGTTTTTTTACAGTGTAATTCTCACACCACATTGAATATATTTATTACTTCAACTCATGCATGCACATAGCTTTTTTGTCAGAGCTTGTGTGATAATTTCTTAATGCATTTTTCAGCTCTGCATGGTAGAGACGATGCTGTGAAACTCATGACTAGCAGGTGAATATACTTTAACAAACAGACTTGCTTAGTTGTTAACTTCTGGAATCCTCTTTTGACACTCAAGGTGATGCATACAAATTAGTCAACACTGCAACTGTATGTCTAGAACACACTCTAGACAAAGACTCTTATTTGTGCATCAAGTGCTCCTCCCCTTGTGTGTGACTTACACTTTCCACTCACCTAACACTTGTCTCCCTTTGCCTGTGAAACCCAAAACTTACGCCTGTTCTGTAGGTTAAATGGCACTTAGCCAACACTTAGGGACTTGTGCTTTCATCTTGTGCTTATGAAAACTGCATTTGATAAATTTTCTATTTGGCTGCATCAGATGTAGTTACATACCAGATAGTCCTGACAGCTGTGGCTCAACACCTCTGATGGATGCACTGCGAGCAGGACACATTCCAGTTGCAGAGATTCTCATTAATGAACACAAGGTACAGGTCATTCTAAGTGTGAAGAAGTACAATGTAATTAGCATGTGCATGCACTGTTGTGGGCACTCAATGGAACCACGAGCTCCCTTGTTCACACTGGTCTAAATCATGTATCACCCGCACATCATAATTTTATTTTGGTTTTCTTTTTGTGTAGGCTGCCATAACTGCTAAGGATCAGCTTGGCAGACAAGCCATTCATTTGGCTGCTCAAACTGGCTGTATCAAGTCACTGAATTACTTGATTACAAAGTATGCTGTAGATGTCAATGTGAGCACAGGAAAATCAAGAAAGACTCCCTTACATCTAGCAGCCAAGGTATGGAAGTTATTTACCCCGCAACGTTACTACACTGCAGCACCGTTTTCTTCATCTAGTTATCTCGACCAACAGTGGTCTAAGTAAATCTTTAAAACACTCAGTGGCTTCATCAATACTTCTTACATAATACATATAGACGTGTGGTCTCTTTGATTAACCCAAGGGACAGGACCCTGGGGACGGGAGCAATGAAGTGAAGGATATCAGTCGGGAGGGTAAGGAAGGAACACAAGAAAATATGCGAGACTGCAGTTTTGCAATCGGTGCAACCCTCCCCCCCTTCAATTATCCATGTATTCCAGTTGTTATCTAAGCTAATTGAGACGGGGGATTAACAACGTGTCCTGTGACTTTTACAGGAGGGTTACTCACAAACCGTACAGTTTTTGTTGGATAAAGAAGCAGCTATAAATACCCAGGACAAGAACGGAAGAACAGGTATTGTTGCTACGTCTTTCTCGTTTTTGTTTTCAGCTTTTACATCCACTTTTTGCAGTTCTTTGGGGAGTTCTGTGGCACAGTCATAGGTACATGTTAGGCGAAGCAAATAAATAACTCATTACAGCAAACATTGCGCTGTTGCACGGATTTGTAAGCTTAAAGAATATCCAAAGAACTTTTAGACTCCAAAAGCTTAGACTTTCTTATTTGAAAAATAGTGGAGAGAATAAGCAGACTCTTGGTCTCGTAGTGTAGTTTTCAGTCTCAAGTG